TGTGTGTGTGTGTGTGTGTGTGTGTGTGTGTGTGTGTGTGTGTGTGTGTGTGTGTGTGTGTGTGTGTAATATATATTACATATAATATAATATGAAATTATAAAAAATACATAAATATATGGGAGCTGTTCCATTTGATCACGTTGCAATTTACTAAAGCCACTCACAACCACCAGTGTCTGGAATTTTTCTATTGGGGGTATGTTCTACTTCATCATTCACAAGGCCTATGAGTATCATTTTAGCCTTATTGTTTATCAAGAATTAAACAAAGATGAAATTATTTATGTGAGCATTGCGAACATTAAGTGGAATGCATTTTGGACGAAACGCTGTGAGTGGCTTGTAATGTTAATTGGAACGTGGTCAAACAACTCCAAATATATGTATTGTAATAAAAAAATAATTTTATACATGTTTTATGTATTTTAGTAAAATATATATATATATATATGTATACATATATATAATTAGTGTATCTGTGCATACATTTATAATAACTATATGACAAAATGTAATATATAATTAATAGTTTATTTAATCTGCTAATAACTCTGCACCTCGTGAGGTACTATTGCAGATGCATTAAGTGGTTTGACACATATCAAACATTTTTAACGATTTCCAATTAATCTCATCCCTGAGACCGAGCATTACATGCTACGAGAAAATAGCTATGCAATAAGGAGTAGGAATGATACATTTCAATTAAAAAAGTTCTGGACAGCACAAGTAGTCAGTATTCGTAGTTGATTTAAGATCTTAAGCATAGTCTTAAACTATCATAAACCAATCACTTAGCATTTTAACATGTTACTTATAACAGTCTTGAAATAATAATAAGAACAGATTATGAATACTGACCTATGAAATGTGAAAGAGAAAATGAAGTGTCTGTTAAAAAAATAAAATTATTTGATTCTTTAAAAGATGCAAAGAACGAAGCAAAACGCATGGCATAGTAACTACATAACAAAAATTTAAATTGTTTACATTGTTTTGATATGTGTGTAGTAAGATGAATGACGAGATATCAAAATTGTATAAAAGCATGCTAGTCTTTCTGCCCATAGGTCAGACAAAAAAGATTGATAATTCTGTCCATGTTAACATGAAGTGTCAATGTTTTTTATTCAGTAAGAAGGTCAAGCGAATAAATTATTATAAAAATAAAGTGATAAAAAATTAAATATTTCGAAAATCAGTATGAAGGACACAATTATTGAAAAGTCAAACAATTTTAAAATTTTTTTACAAAAATATAATATTAATATATAACTGTTTGGTACTATTAGTGTTAATAAAATTACTCGATAAATTTTAATTGTCGATTACGTTACTCGGAATTTGGTCAAAGTTTCCTAATATTATATTCCAAAATTATATTTGATTTTGTATTAAATTTTCTTCTCTTTTTTTTTTGAAACTGCGATAATGCTTAAATATTGAAACAATAAAAAACGTGATTAAACTAACGATGAAAAGAATTGGAAAATTTTTACCATCCGCTTCTTATGCATTTATAGTCGCTGCATTATGTTGACAGTTTTATTAATATTTTTTTTTATATTTTAATAAATTTGAAAACATCATTTAGTATTATAATATTTTAATATTAACATTTTTTGTAATTTGCTGGTATTTCCTATCCGGTCGAATAGAAACATTCTGACTGACGTTAAGAATTATATTTATATTATTCGAATTAACATCATACTATATATAAGGAAATTAATTATTGTTTCTTTTTAAAAAGTATCTATTATATTTCAGATATATTATTAAGTAAATTTGTAATCAAGTTTTTTACACTGCTAATTTATAAATTAAATGCATTTTTATGCCATATTAATTACCACGATGTTACATACTCATTTAAATATAATTTCTATATAATTGCTTTCGGTATGTAATAAGACTACTTTATAAATTGTATATAAGCAGGTTTTATTAACATATTCCGTGTTGTACCAATTTTAACTAACTTGATATCTACATTATTTTTGTATTTATTATATTTGTTAGATAACATTTCGTAATGATTAAAAAATTACAAAAATTTAATATAAAGAAGGTCTAATGTATATATATACATGTACACACACGCGCGTGTATATAAGTTGCATTGCAATAAACATATATTTTCTATTACAGTGAATTTTGCGAGCGAATTATCTTGTGCAACTCCCTTATATGGTCATGTAACATCACGGGTAAAACTAATATGACATTCGAAGAAGCTTTACAATGCGAAGAAAATGCAAAGAGGAGCTTGAAAGAATTTCCAATGGAGGTATAGTATAATTTTATATAATCTATGTTGTATTAATATATATGTATGTTCTTGTAAAACGATATTTCACATTTTTTTTTAGCTAAGAATCCCTATACTATATCTCGCTAGTAAAACAAATAGGTCGTCTTTCAATGAGATGATTGAAGACGTTTACCAGTTTGCGAGAGATCGTTATTTTGTAGGAGAAATGGTAGAGGCTAGCTTTACTGAAGATGCTTGGTGTAACTGTCACATTCTTCAAGTTATCGTACCTACAGAACAGCAAGTTAAGGCATATATGAATGAAAATGGCAGGTAAATAATTTAATTCAATTCTGTTAAATTATTTTATTAATTTTTTAAATTGAATGTCTATTTTATTTTGTGCTGTTATTTCATAAGTCTACAAGAGCATTATTATCATCCACCAGCGAAGTTATTTCGCTATGAAGTAGAGCAATTAGATTCGGGAGATTCTGACATTAGCCAGATAATGATAGTAGAAGCATCTCAGGTCAGAAGACGAAAACAACATTACAGCAGAGATCGTAATAAGATATTTCTTCGTCAACTCTCTGAACAAAATGATAGTGGTATATGGGTCGTTAAGGTTAATATAAAATTATATTTAAAGAGGAGAAAGATATTTGTGCGTTCTTGTAATATTACTTTTTGTTATATCGTTATATAGGAAAGCGTTTTAGAAAAATACGGGATTAGCAAAGTACGTTTTGATACCATATTTGCTGGAACACTCCCAGATTTTACAGTACGTATAAAGAAATCCGTTAAGCAAAAACAAGAATCTATAGATAAATTTCTTACCTCGAATGTATCGAAATTGAAAATGGAGAAAATGGATCCTTTGAAAAAAGTGAATGACACTGGTATGAAGAAATATCGGAAGCCAAGGTAAAAGCTGTTTATTAATTAAAAGTCTTGTATATTTAATTTATTATTATTATTTTTTTAATATCTAAAATATTTGTATTAATAGAATGAATGGTAAATTCAAAGAAGAACTTAAAGCAAAAGCCTTAGAAGAGAAAGCGAAACGTAAAGAAGAAAGAGCGTTAAAAAGCGAATATAAAAAGGAGAGAAAACAAAAATTAGCGGCTTTAGCTGCATATATGAAACAATGGAACAAACCAAGAGAAGA